AATTTTTTTTTGTAACCTTGGCCAGATCTGTGCCTTGCCACAATTCTGTCTCTGAGCTCTTCAGGCAGTTCCTTTGACCTCATGATTCTCATTTGCTCTGACATGCAGTGTGAGCTGTAGGGTCTTATATAGACAGGTGTGTGGCTTTCCTAATCACGTCCAATCAGTATAATCAAACACCGCTGGACTCAAATGAAGGTGTAGAACCATCTCAGGGATGATCAGCAGAAATGGACAGCACCTAAGTTAAATATATGAGTGTCACAGCAAAGGGTCTGAATACTTATGACCATGTGATATTTCAGTTTTTCTTTTTTAATAAATCTGCAAAAATGTCAAAAATTCTGTGTTTTTCTGTCAATATGGGGTGCTGTGTGTACATTAATGAGGAAAAAAATGAACTTAAATGATTTTAGCATATGGCTGCAATATAACAGAGAGTGAAAAATTTAAGGGGGTCTGAATACTTTCTGTACCCACTGTACGTATGGGTGAATATTTCAAAATGTCTTTCTTTTGTCTCTATTTGGAATGATAATTTTTAAGGAATCATTGACTGTTGTTAGTGTTATATTGAGCATTCTCTCTCCAGAATGCCTAGGAATGGAAGAGCTGCTTCACTGATTAGAAGAGTGCATTATGAAGTCCATACACGGTGGCCCTATTGAACACTAACATACTGTAGCTGCAAGCCACATACCACAGGGAAGGAGGTATTTTGTTAAGGAGCAGTCTCAGCCTGCTGGAGCTGCTGCAAAACAGAAAATAGGTCAAAAGCTGCTTCAGGCTTTCTCTTTGTCTCATTTCAAAGCATGTTTGTGTACTGCAGAGAATATCTAAGCTAATGATTTTGAGAGGCCTACAGTGTGGTTAAAAAGGTCAGACCCTTTCCTGCCTTTAAAAAGCTGACACAGACCTTCATATTATGGATGAACTCTTCAGTTAAACCTTAAAGTAGCCTGATACAAGGAAGATGGTCCATATGTTCTTTGGAGTTATATGTGATCAATTCCACTAATAGTGGCCTTTGTTTACCTCAGTGGTGGAGATAGCCAGGCCTGTATTTAATTTCTTCTGTTCCTCAGTTTATGCAAATTCAAAATCTCCTCTGTGTTTATCTGTGGTCTTGATACACATATATTATAATGGACATTATAATGTCTATTTTCACAGCACTATTTCCAGCACTACATAAAAACTTGACAATTTCTCCAGAATGTTCACTTTAGAAATCTGGCTGCTTTGCCTTTATAGATTGGTCTGAACAAACATCAGGAACTGTTGAGTTTTGGCAGTCAGGAGCACTGAAAACACGAAACTGCTGGGAGTAGTCAGAGTATGAAAATATGATTTCCTCCAGAGAGAAATTCAGAGCACCCTGGTGTGTCTAACATGACTCTGTTGTTGCACTGACTGAAATGGTGATGTGGAAATCTAAATTATGCTGAAATTATAATGTAAGCTGTCATAGAGGAGTACAGGTAATTCCACCCCCCTCACTGTTTTCCTACTGTAACCGGCTTTTACTAGTGACTGGACTGTATTGGTTGATGTTGGCTATATCCCCAGATATTACTGGGCTTTTACATGAACTGCAGTATGTTACAGTATATATGGACTGATGTGGTTCAGGAGTTAGACCAGATTGCTCAATAATTTCATCCCCACCTCCTCCTCCACATGTGGAAGTGCCCTTAAGCAAGACCATCAGTACTGATGGTCAGGATAGTACCCTGCATGGAGCTTATCTGTGTGTGTGTGTGTGAAAGAGGGAGCGATAAAGAGGGAGTATGTGTGAATAAGAGGAAAATTATAAATGCTTTTGATGAAAGCGCTATAGTAAATAATTGCCATACATTGTCGTTCTGCCTTACCTATGTTTATTGCCAACGCACATGGTCATACCAAGGACCCATACTGTTGAATTTGTACAAAGAGGCCTGGAGAAGAGGAATCTGTACATCAAAGGTCCATTTCATTCAATTATCTCTGCAGAGGAACACACATAAGATTAGAACTCATTTGGCAGCCTGTCATGTATCTCACATTGCAGGGCAGCTATGTAAACAAAGTTTTCTTCTGTGAAACCTGTTGAAGCTGTACTCTTGGTCATGGAAACTCCCTGGTGATTAGCGTCCTTATTTTTGGATCTAATATTTACTTTGCAATACAGTTTTGGACAGCTGCATTTTTAAATTGTTTTTTGTTTTTAAAATTCTCTCTTTCTCTTTACATATACATAGTTTTCTATATTGTTTTGTTATATTATTCTGTGCGTGCTATTTTTGGGCCACAAAATATATGAGGCAAATGTTTTACATGCAACATAGAAGCTAATGTTTTATCTTCATATTTGTGTGACTTTAATGTGATTTATTACAAAAGCCATTTGTATTCCAACAGTAAAGCTCAGGGAACTTACATCAGTAATTATTACTGTCATACAGACAGCTAATGAGAATGGATGGACAAATCGCCTCTGTGTAATCACCTTCACCCTTCCCACAAAAAGGGAAAAATGAATGGTTTGTGGACAGTAAATTAAAAAAAACAAAGTGGTGAAAAACAAAGATTTCTTTAAAGAATAATCAACATCTGTGGGAAGGGTCATAGAAATAAATGGGAACAAACCTTTGACATACCTCTGCTTTGGGTTTTCATATACAAAACAACATATGAAGCAACTATAGATTCCTGTGTTTGAGGATTTCAATTTAAATTGCTGTACACTGTCTCAGTCTCCTGTGTGCAGACTTTCAACAATAGCACAGATCATTATCTCACATCTTATGGTGTTGCCCTCTAGTTGCACTGTTCTGGACCAAAGTTCAAATACAGTATCTGCCATGGATTGTACTTTAAAGGTTGAGTTGGACTTGTAGATTGTACTCATGGGTAGCTTAAAATGAATGATAGATGGGAAAAACAAGCATTTCTTTAGATAGATGCAAGACCCTCTACACATTATGCAATGTGTGAGAAGGGGTTTTCATACTTTTGACTAATACGGTATGTGGGTACATATTCAAGCTTGGCTCACTGCTTATCCTTTAGGTCAGCAGTTTTCCTCAGTCTGCATGCCCTGAGGTCTTCAATCTACACCACAAACATTTGTGGTCAGAGTAACAAAGGCTTTAACCACTTTCTGTGCTTTTGTTTCCCTTCCTGAATTTCTTCATGAGGCAGATCCTCTGCTGGTTAATCACAAGTCTTTAGACATAATTAATCCTTGATTAAAGAGGATCAGCCCCAGTCTGAGATCAAAGCTGGTGCTACATTATTAACACATCAGGATAGGTTTAATAGGGTCATGTTTGATCAGCATGTCATTGATATAGACAAGCTAATTATTCATGCATATAATTTTAAATTAATTTTAAGGTGAATTAGTGTCATGGCTGCAAGCAACAAATGAATCTGAGACATAACTGTAACATGAGGAAGAACAGTGAAAAGCGGTTCATCTACTTATTCTCACAGATTTTGATTATATCAATATCAAATATATTATTGTGAGTAATTTGTTGAACATGCTTTTCATCTGCCTGTGGCAGACATTCATAGAGATTTTTGGAGAACCCAGTGAATGTTGCAGAGTACAAAGATGAGCTATGGGCAAAATGCCTTCAAATTGCTTGGAGGTGATTTGTGCATATGTCATCTATATTTAGTTCCACTTGCACAGTGAATTATGGCAATTTATGACAAACAGGCCAAGTCTGTAAGAATTTTGCAACCAGTGAGTGAACAAATGGAATGATTTATTTAAATGCTGCATATACAGTATGTTGAAGAAAGTTTTGTGAGTATTATATATATATAATATATAAGAATATACTGTAGAATATGTAGAATATATGGCATATAAAAATGGTTTGCTTTCAAAACAGTTTGAAAGCAAAACTATGAAATGGCAGCTGCTGAAATGTGCATGGCATAGACTATATACAAGAAGCTGATGGGCCTGGTTTTGAACTTGAATTCAAGGTAAACAAAATGTGTTCACAGATTGCAAATTATTATTAAAATGTAAAGTTTTTTTTTCCCCAGCAAATGTCATTTGTTAAGACATAGTACTGTATGTATCTGCTAGGTAGGATTTAAAATATCCTGCTAACTACAAAAGACAAGTGTCAACAACAGTTCATTAATGATGAAAATAAAGCCACAAACTAGCCTGTCTTCCTGACAAGTAGCTAAACTCAAAGGAGCTTCCAGTCCTGAAGGTGCAAAATCTCAGTCAGCAGCTGACTACAAGGTGTTTAGTTAATAATAATAAGTGCTATCTGTGTTTTATAAGAGCACTCAGAGAGTGCCTGTACCTCCACCAAGGCACAACATTAACTCACACAAATGAGTCCCTTGTGAAAAATGAGATCCAGAACAACACAAAATGTGTCCTAAAATCCTTGCTCCAGAACATCTTTTAGGGTATGATGGGCATTTATACTATGCATCTTACCTGAACATTTCAGGGTTTTATCCTCATTATAGGCTAAGTTATGGCAGAAAACATTCATTTAATGGGGTTTTGAATGGTAATTTTAAATGGCCAACAGATCCAGATGAAATTTGGTCTGGTGATAGACATCTCCACCCTACATACGTATGTAGCAAATTTCAATCAAAAAATGATTTTGATAACTCTTGAAGATTTTTTTAAAATTTTTAATATGATTTTTTCATAATTTTGTGACATTGACCTTTGACCTTTTTCAGCCAAACTCTAATCATTTCTAGAGTTGGTCCCCACTCATGTCTGTACCAACACACACAGAACCAAAAATATAGGCCTCTTTGGCGGAGGTAATAATGTACCTGATGCAAAACCTCAATTAAGTCAGGCCCAGTGAGAGAGGCTCAGTGGCTTTCTGCTTATCAACACCTCATTATCTACCACACCATCACCAGCACTTACTGCATGTTACCACTTTGATAACAAAAAAAATAAAAGGATAAAAAATTAACTAGTGTCATATGGCCCCAGTTATATCTTGAACTAGCCTGTTTGGTATCCCATCAGCTGGGAAAGCAAATAAAGAGAAATAGCTAATAAACTGACACAGAAATCAGCCATACTCTGTAGCTCTTTAAGTATTCTTGGCTACAACCCTCAAAAATATGATGTGGGGCCAGAACAGATCTAAGTGAAATTTAAAGTAAATTTAATGTGTTTTATTGTTTGCTGATGAGTTATAAATGTTAGATCTAGTCAAATGGCAGTGGATGGAAAAGGCCTTTCCACTTGTAATGACTGCAAGGGGTGGATGACTTTTACTTTCTAAGGAGCCATAATGAGTGTAATAAGGAGATTTCACAATTTTAGTGTTTTCTGTCTTATGTTTGATAAGTCCCTGAGATACTTTATCTTGATGTATCATAAAGTTGTATTCAGCAGTGCCAAATCAGCAGTAAACATGGCAATTTTACTGTGCAAGCACTGAAGCCAGTTTAATGCTGCCATAAAAACTACAATCAACAACCTGTCCACCCAGAAGGAAGCACAATTTGTTTAAATCACACCAAACTGATGTCTACACACTTGGCATCATTGTCAATTTATTTTACTGTCATTCTGTTAGTGTGCCATTTTAATGGCATAAGACATCAGAAATAACTAAGGAGCATGAATAACCAGTCAGTGCAGGTGTACAGACAGTATGGACCTGGCAGTAAGGCTATAGTGCTGGAAATGACATCACAGACTAACGATTCCAACCTAACGCTTGCTAATGAGAGACCTTGACTGGCTCAAAGAGTCAGGAGTGGAAGCAGGATGAGTGGAAGGTGGTGCCAACCTCACTTATCACTTAAAAAGATCCAAAGCTTCTCACCTCATGCTTAAATGGCACAGCTGATGGAAATTATAAATAGGTCTTTCTTGATTTTCTCAGAGACTGTTTTTTAAAGCCATGTTGTCTGTGCCAATGACAGTCAGATGGCAGGGGATATGAGGCAGATACAAATTGAAGGCAGGCTGATGAAAGATTTTCCATTTAAAGGGTAACAAGAGCACTGTTCAGAGCAAAGGATAGACAGGTCTGTGACATGCAAGCTAGAGAGATAGCTTCAGTGATGATGACCTACAACACTAATTATCATACCTTTTATTTTTTTCTGTTCAACATCCAACCCCTTAGCTCTGGAAATGACACTACAAACTGTATCCAGGACAAACCCTCATTACAGCAAAACATGTCCCATGTACATCCACAAACCCTGATGCCACAGCCAAAGACTGTTCAAAAAATTACAATGTTATACTCGGTTTGCAATAGTAAACATTACTTTTGGATGCCACTGCAGAGGAAAATTATCAGGAGATTTGAGGAGCTGCATGTCCTCATTACTGCCATCTAAATCCAGCAATTTGTTATTAATCCCTTAAATCTTTATGGTGACCTGTGCATGTGGTAGACAGCTATAAGGAACCTAATGTATTACTGTTTCTGTTTCAATATATTTATTTATGCTTGCACAATCCATTTCAGCTGGTTTGAGAAGTGAAAGTAGAACCTGGTGCCTCAGTGTACTGTTAGTTTGGAATTCTAACACTCAGGTGCAGTGGGATTTTAGGGATGAGTTTCTCTGAAATTGGTTTTCACTTCAGTACCTTTCATTTCCACTGCTCTCCTTCAAGTGTTGCTAAAACTTTTGCTGACCTTGTTTGGCCAAGGGAAAGTAGTTTACTTTCTACATTAGACACTATTTTAACAATATTAATGAGCACTGACTCTAATTAAATAATAATTAGAGAAAAATAACCAAGTGTTACTTACAGAAAATAATGATGATCCACTTTCGTCCCAGGGTCTAATCTCGGTGTGCTGGTGCGAATAACAGTGCTAGGCCTTGATGTGTCAGCTGTGATGAACAGAGGGATTTATCAGGTTTTCTTCCTGGTGAAGGACAGTGTGTTTGGCGTACATATGAACAATAGAGCTGGGGTGACAACTAGCAAATTTTGTTCACAGGTTCCAATGGGTGCTATCCAATCTTTGGGTAGGATTGTGTCCTCAGTGCCAGCCCCTGTAGAGACAGAGGAGGTCATCCCTTTGGAAGAATGCTGCTTCTCAGCCCAGAAACAAAGGCTGGGATTGTCAGAGCTGACCAGAAGGGGTGGGCCAACCACGGCCAGAGGACAATAGAATAAATCACACAAATAGAATTCTTGTTTGGGGATGAAGCAAGATTTGAAAGACCGAGAGAGCCATGCAGAACATGCCACATTCAGTTGCATTTGAAGTTTCATTATTAAGTCCTTGCAAGTGGATCATCATTATTTTCTATGAGTAACACTTGGTTATTTTTCTCTAATTATTATTTAATTAGAGTCAGTGCTCATTAATATTGTTAAAATAGTGTTTACAGAGAGGAAGACTTAGACAAACCATATGAACAATTTTTAAATATATTTAAGAAAGTATATGACAGGAACTGTCCT